GAACCTAGAATACATTAGGGAAAAAAATCTGATCAAAGTTGGTTTCAAAATTTTAATATAAATTGTTCCCTTGATTACCACAAAACATTTGCCCATCATATCAGCTGCATAAGGACCAAAGCTTGCAAAAAAATTATATCAATCATCATGAAAAGGTGCGACAACCACTGAATATTAAGCTGGATAAGCATCATTATAAAAAAAACTGATGCAAGATGGACTTGCTAATGCAGTTGCGTCAAGCCACCAAAAGATGTCATATAAAAATACTGAAGTAACTTACAGTGGGGAAAACAATTATTTGATCCCCTGCTGATTTTATACATTTGCCCACTGACAAAGAAATGATCAGTTTATAATTTTAATGGTAGGTTATTCCAGAAAAACGCATTTCAAAAAAGTTATAAATTGATTTGAAATAAATTATAAGTTATAAATTGAGTGAAATAAGTATTTGATCCCTTCGCAAAACATGATGTAGTACTTGATGGGAAAACCCTTGTTAGCAATCATAGAGGTCACATGTTTCTTGTAGTTGCACACATCTCAGGATTTTGTCTCAGTTCTCTTTGCAGATCCTCTTCAAGTCATTTTCGAGGCTGACATTTGGCAGCTCAAACCTCCAGCTCCCTCCAAAGATTTTCTATGGGATTAAGGTCTGGAGACCGGCTAGGGACTTTAATGTACTTCTTGAGCCACTCCTTTGTTGCCTTGGCTGTGTGTTTTATTTCATTGCCATGCTGGAATACCCATCCACGACCCATTTTCAATGCCCTGGTTGAGGGAAGGAGGTTCTTGCCCAAGATTTGACAGTACATGGCCCCATCCATCGTCCCTTTGATGCAGTGAAGTTGTCCTGTCCCCTTAGCAGAAAAACACCCCCAAAGCATGTTTCCACCTTCATGTTTGATGGTAGGGATGTTTGTTGGAGTCATAGGCAGCATTCCTCCTCCTCCAAACACAGCAAGTTGAGCTCGTTTTTAATCTCATCTGACCATAACATTTTCAGCCAGTTCTCCTCTGAACCATTCAGATGTCTATTGGCAAACTTCAGACGGGCCTGTACATGTGCTTTCTTGAGCAGGGGACCTTGCGGGCACTGCAGAATTTCAATCCTTCGTGGCGTAGTATGTTACTAATTGTTTTCTTGGTGACTATGGTCCCAACTGCCTTGAGATCATTGACAAGATCTTCCTGTGTAGTTCTCAGCTGATTCCTCACCATTCTCATGATCACTGAAACGCCACAAGGTGAGATCTTGCCTGGAGTCCCAGGCCGAGGGAGATTGACAGTTATTTTGTGTTTCTTCCATTTGCGAATAATCGCACCAACTGTTATCTGACCTCTGTGGTTGCCAACAAAGGTTTTGCCACCAAGTACTAAGTCATGTTTTGCGAAGGGATCAAATACTTAAAATGCAAATCAATTTATAACTTTTGAAATGTGTTTTTCTGGAATTTTTTGTTGTTATTCTGTCTCTCACTGTTAAAATAAACCTATCATTACAATTGTAGATTGATCATTTCTTTGTCAGTGGGCAAATGTACAAAATCAGCAGGGGATCAAATAATTTCCTACTATGCTTTATTTGTAAATATGTGAAAACTAATCAGAAGAGAAATCATATTAGATTATTTTCCTTGACTTCTGAGACTAAGAAAAAACATTTTAATTGAATTAATTTAATTTAAAAAAAACCAAAATGTCTGTCACCCCTTTCCTTCTGGATCATTCTGCTCTGAAGATTTAGCAATCTCCAGAAACTCTTATTATAGAAAATTCCCTTTATTCCCAGAATTATTCCCAGTGATAAAGCTACCACTAAGCAAGCCTTACATCTATTTAGGGGATGTATATCAGATGGGAACAACATCATCACCCACTGGCAGTTTGGTGGGTGGTGACTGTTCCTCACTGCTTATGTGGCCAGCATGGCTCCCATAGGGGCCTTATATTTATCTTTGGCTATAGGTAGAGAAGCTCCATGTCTTCAATATATTCTATCTGAGGACAGCAAAGAAGAGCAATGGAGGCTTCTTATGAGCTCAATATATAAGCCCTTGAATCAAAATTATGGCAGCTGGAGGGAAAGAGAGGGACGTATTGCTGCTATACACAGGCTGAATAGGCAGCTGGAGCCAGCAAACCTGCTCACACCCAGTCCCCATTGGGATGAAGCTTGGCATTCATTTTTTTTCCAGTTTTTCAAATAAAAATGAGATTAATTTTTTTAGTAGACACATGCTATCCAGCATGTGCTACTGAAATGAAACATTAAGCAAATCATCTTGCATTAGAATCCCAGAGTTTTCAAGTGAAACTGAACCGAGGTGGCGCAGCAGTTAGAGTGCAGTACTGCAGTACTGCAGGCCACTTTAGCTGACTGTGTTCAGCAGGTCAGCAGTTCAAATCTCACCGGCTCAAGGTTGATTCAGCCTTCCATCCTTCTGAGGTAGGTAAAATGAGGACCCAGATTGTTGGGGGCAATGTAAATATATATACACATTGCTTACTGGTGTACACCGCTTAGAGAGTGCTTGCACTTGAAGTGGTATATAAGTCTCATAAATAAATAAATAAACAAACAAACCATGCCTAACTGATGAAGTAAACTTGGAAGCATCCAATTAAAGGCAGATTTTATTTCTTAGTATATATAGCTAGAACCAGAATGCAAGGTTGTACACTGCAGTAATCAACATTACTTTAAGGCAATTACAGTAATTTGTTTTTAATAGACTAGGGATGTCAGATAGCTTGCATGATTGGTTTATGTTGACTGACTAGTTACAGAAAGGAGCACTTTGAAAATCAGGTCAGGGAGCAAAGCTTGGGGGAAAAAAAGGAGATGACTATACAAAAGAGTAACAAATAATCCAGAAATGGAGGCAATATCCTGCTTGATGCTTGAGAGCCATAAAATATGTGCTGGGGCAGACTTGAACTCTGAAAACTCCTGACAGTTATCAACCCTCCAGCAGAACAGATTTAGCTCTGGAGGATTGTTTGGTAAAGCATAATTTACCAGCAGCAATTATATTGCTGTGACCTGGGTCCTTTGCTCTCCTCTTTCTTTTTTCCCTTGACTGACTTCAAAATTTGTTTGAAAAGCTAAATTTACCCTTCTTATTGTCTTAGACATCCTCAATTCTACATCTTACCTAAGAGAGGATAACAGCTATAAAGATTCTCAGAAGAAAGCAGGGCAGATGCTCAAAAAGGCTCATATCTGACTCTGGGCAAATGCTTGGATAAGTCTCTGCTGTTTTCTTGGCAAGATTTTGGAAGCTAAGATTCCTAGGACTGAGAATGAGTGACTGGTCCAAGGTTATGCAGCTGGCTTTGTGCCTAAGGAAGGACTAGAACTCACAATCTCCCAGGTTTTAGCTTGGTGTCTTAATCACTGCACCAGATAGAGTCTCTTTAGCAAATTATACTAATAAACAAGAATTCAGTTCAAGTTGATCTTGTTTAGAGAATGAAGTTGCAACAGGAGTTAGAAAGTCAAAATTCTTCCTCATTTTCCATGGGACTAAAAATTATTGATACAAAACAAAGTTTGCATGAATAAACTGTTCCCATTGCTGTTTTTTCCACATACACAGACAGGAGAAAAATATATAACATTCCCTTCTAGTTGTATAAAGAAACATTTTTATATATATAAAAAAGCAGGCACATACATTGTTACACGAGATTCAAATTGCAGAAAGATTTTAAAACATTACTTTTGCATGTAGCTACTAATTGGATCACTCAAAGGTATTGTTATATTTGTTGCTATTCAAAAAATACAAATCCAAATCCTAATTTGAATTTCTGAAACATGCAAATCAAAGGAAGAATCTCTGCCCCCTTGCTTGGGGCTGCCATAAGACCACAGAGCAGTGGAGCTGGTAAGTGTCCTGAAGACCCTCTCCCTGTTTTTTAAATTCTGAATATTAAGTATTTTTGCCTTTTAATATAATTTTATATACAGTTTTTATGTTTTTATATTTTACTTGTACACCACCCAGAGACCCTCTGTGAGGGATAAAAGCAGTTTTTAAAGTTGATTAATGAAGTCAAGAATAATCCAATATTTCAATATATTTCAGATGTACCATTTTTAAAGGTCTACAATGACACAATCTATCGTTCTCTCTCATGTAATTTTTTTCATACAATCATTACAGAAGAAAACTTTTCTTAAAAAAAATACCTTATTAACATCTTCATTATCCTTAATAAGTAAATATCTCAGCAAATTCAGTGAGGCCATTATCCTGAAAATCAGAAATGTTAAATAATCAGCTTTATAAAATATTCCTCAAGCACTGATATATTCATTTATGACAACTATTTCCAATTCCGTATTTTTTTCATCAGACACTGAAAAATTGCAGGATTACAAAGGATCCTTAATATTTCCATTGCATAAATGACAATGTATATTCCTCCAGATGTTGTATTTATTACTACTGACCAATAACAGTAACAACATTTTGATCTTTACTACTCTACTGGGAAAAAATTGTCAGCTTACCTAGTAGCCTTGTCCCCTGCCTCTATTTTTCACCATTAATAAAAGTACTGGCAAATGTTGAGTTCCAACAAATAACTTATGTTTCATGCTTGTTGTCAAACTTATATCAGTAATGTACAGTATTACATCTGCAACACATTTGAACAGCTTCATAGTTAGCATCTTAATAAACGTTGAGATTAAGCGACTGGCAAAAGCAAAATGACCTATTTGGATTAGTGAATCAATTATTCCACAAACAGATTTTTAACAGATTATCTTTTTGATTTAATAGTGCCTTTTGTTATCAGGAACTCATTAAGTTGCTTATAAATTCCAATGGAAACCTCAAATAAGCAAAATAACTCTTAGAAAGTTAATTTTGTTAACAAATTGTAAGAACTTTAATGAAATACCTCAGGGAATGTCAGCCCTTCAAGATACAACAGACCTAAACGCCAAAGTTATGAATACTAAAACTAATTTTTCATTATAGGGTTGGATTAATTGAACTTTGCAACCTTGAATGTGCCTCACTGCCTGTCTATCCTAAAGAGAACTATGGAGAATCAAGTCGGAAACATTTTTTTCAAATTCCACTCTTGCTTGACATTCACTTTTTTAAAAATCTGACAGTTACTTTTGCTGCGGCTCTTAGTTCTGTTCCTCAGTTATTTTCATAACCCATTACAAGTAGCCCTTTCTTAATTGTTTAGCAACTGTTCAAAATTACCCCCAAAAGGTACTTACAGCCCGATTTCCAAGTTCCAATGGCCACACGTTCCACTGCAAGTCACATGATCGCATTTTGGACATTTGGGAACCACTCACCTTTATAGTCATTTACAGCGTCCCAGGATCACATGATCATGATTTCCTATATTTTTTGTCAATTTCTGGCCTGTATTTCTGGTTTCCAGCAAAAAAATGCCCATTGGATAAAATGGATTGGCTTAATAAACATGGTTAACAATCACCACCCCCCAAAAATGGCCATGGTTACATGGTGATCCAGTTGACGATCGCACTGACTTAGAACTGTAATGCCAAGCTTGATTATATTGTAAATTGAGAGAGATACTTTTATGTGACCTTTATCACATCTTACCTGTCTGAGTGCTGGAGGAGATCAGTTTCAGCACCTTCAGGAAGTGAGAGCACCGTGTCCAACAGAGAGATCAGCTGGAGTCCAGTAAAAAACCTGCTGCCTTCTGCCCTCTGGGAAATAAAAAAACATAACACAAGAAAGAGTAGTAAGTGCTTCATATATTGTCTGCATTACTATTATAGCTAAAAGCTTTCAAAAACAAATTTACTGAATTGTTACTCCAACTACCCGTAAGTCTGTTTAATCTCCTTCCATTATTGCTTCTTTCTCTTAAACTGAATTCCGAAAGCACTGTGCATAGTCTAAACTAGATGACCCATTGGACCAGGAACAGGAAAAAAAAAGCATTTTTAAAGCATTGTTGTGAGAAGCTGGCAGGAAATGTCGGAAATCACAAACATGTGATCATGGTTGGTTAGTAACTATGGCAGTAATGCAGTTGTCACAGGTTTGCAAATGCAACTAGTCTGAAGATCTTTGAAATTTCAATTCCATGGGAGTGATGGGTCCTAGATTCTGTATGCATTCTTTTAGCAATAGCACTTAGACTTATATATCGCTTCACAGTGCTTTACAGCCCTCTCTAAGCGCTTTACAGAGTCAGCATATTGCCCCCCCCCCCAACAATCTGGGACCTCATTTTACTGACCTCGGAAGGATGGAAGGCTGAGTCAACCTTGACCCGGTGAGAATCGAACTGCCAAACTGCTGGCAGCCAGCAGAATTAGCCTGCAATACTGAATTCTAACCACTCCACCATCACTCAGTTTTAAGTTTGAGACACTATGATTTAAAAACTGTTGCCCTATGATGCACCATTTCAGGTAACTGAAGGTTACAAACAGACAGACAGGAGAGTTTTAGTAGTATATAGGTAGATACAATTGAACAGGCCTGATCCTCACTTTAGTTCACAACAATAAAACCCCAAAGTCACATTTGGAATTTATTGCATCAAATCTCCTAAATGTATTTTAATCTACATGGATCAATCCACAATTCTCAAGATTTGTAAAAACAGTTTATTCAAAAATCTCTCATTTAAATGTAGTCATAAAAAATATTGAAAAGAGAAGTGAGTGTCAGAGAGGCACTGGCATATTCTCACATGCCATGCCATGCCATATCCAGATAATCACTAAACCGGAAATAAGTAATTAATTTTTATTCTGCTTTCACATATGTTCATAGTTTCAGTGGTACTATTACTACTACTAAAACTAATGAAAGTTGCAGAGATTAAGATCTTATATAAATTGGGGGCTGGAGGGGGGGAGGTATAAGATATCAAAAGTAATGTTCATTCTGTAACTACAAAATTGAACAACCCAACAGGGTTATGTCGACTGGAGGGCTGGGGAAGTTTCACAGCTAATTCTATAACCTAATGCAATGTTAGAATATCAATCTTTTCAGTTTAATTTAAACATGATAGTTCAGAGCAAAAGGGGGGGAAATCAGCCTGTTCTTCTTATAGAAGCACTAATACGTGGAAGTATTAACTCTGCCAGAATGTTATCTGCTACAGAACCCATTGCATTTTTGGTTGATAAGCCTCAGCCATTTATTTGAATGAAGACAGAATAAATCCGGTATTATGCTCTGCCCAGATTATGTTACGGCAATTCACTAACATGGAAACACATTTGTTATAAGGGTACTTTTTCAGAGAAATTTTTAAATATTAGGTATCCAGCTATTTTTATTCTCAAATCTTTGAATGAAACCCAAAGATCTTTTCACAATCCTGCAAACGCTGAAAATTCTCTTACCACCTGAAGTCCCTGCTGAAATCTCAGTTGACAATTGAACATTTATTATTATTATTATTATTATTATTATTATTATTATTATTATTATTATTATAGTATCTAGTATCAATGTGGGTTTGTCAGGCTGTTTATCATCAGCTTTTAATTAAACATTAATTTGTTCTGTGTTGTTAACCTTCATAAACCAGAAGGATAATCAGTCCCTTTTACTGATGTTTACTTGTAAATACTTCTTTATTCTGCTCTTCCATCATTCTTTTATTTACTTGGACTCACTGAAAATATATGTGTTTTTAACAGACAGCTTAGAAGAAATAAGTTTTTTGCTTAGTTTTTGTAGCATTATTCATTATCAGTAATAATTAGTTGAGCCCAAGCCCCAAAAATGACGTGATGATTCTTTCAAGCTCATTTTTTTTTTCTACACCCACATATAGAATCTTGCCAGAGTAAGCTCTCTACTATTTGCATCTACCAAATACTCTTGAGAACTATTAGGAAGGAGCTGTCTTCACTCTCTTTCTCTCACACAAAATATATGGATTGAGCTGCCTCTTATTCTTCTAGAATATTCTTCTAGAATATCCCTCCCTCCTGGGAATCCAGCCTATTGCATTTCATCACAAGTGTACTGAAAATGTTAAATAAGAAAACAAATGCATCATAGAACAAATCAATCCATTATGATACAATGTATCATAAAGTATGATAATTTGACCCTGGTCATTTGTCCTTCTAATGAAAATTGATTTGTACTCCCTCAGTCTGCATCTACAACATTATGCTACTTATATTCCAAACCTGATTTAAATCTACAGGAGTACCGTATATTCCAGCGTATAAGGTGACCCGGCATATAAGATGACCCCCGTCTTCGGCGCCGAGTCGCATGCCTAGAAAGTTGTCTTATATGCCGGAAACCACCGTAATTTCCGGCGTATAAGACGACTCGGCATATAAGATGACCCCCGACTTCGGCGCCGATTTTAACACTTGCAAAAGTTGTCTTATATGCCGGAAAGTACGGTACCTCCTTCACTTATGTTGCCTTCATTAGTTTTCCTCACCTTTAAGGCCAAATCAATTTGATTTTTAATATTCTGAATAATGTGTCCTTCCACGCCAGAATGGTTGCTCGTCTTCAATAAGCCTCTGAAACCAGAAGATCAAAAAAAAAAAGAAAAGAAAAATTATGCTCCAACTCATTTTTCTTTATCCTTAAGGTCTCTTTATTTCTGACAATTGGCATGCCAACTGAGATTGATGGAAGTTGCAGACTAAAATTTGTGGAAAATCTAAATCGGATATAATGCTCTTAAATATCATATTTTGAACATATAAAAGACCAGTACTACAATCACATTAACTAAATTTTCTGTTAAAATACTTAATAATTAGTAATATGAGCCATACCTAAATAATATGTATTTTCCCTCTTCATCAAACTTATCTAAATACAGCTGAAAAATCTTCAAGCTCTTCTTTCTCTACATAGAAACACAAATATGGAACATGTGAGATTTATGTGCATTTTAAACCCAACAATTTTAAAAGTCATAGAAAACTTTATTACGTACCAGAGATTCAAAAGGGCATTGGGTCATAACCTTGACCAAATCCTGCCATTAAAAACAATACAAAATAAAAATTATTCCAGCAATATAGTATATGTTAGGCAAGTTGGGCAATTTAATTGTTATGTACAATGGGAACCATCTTTAATTCACAAAAATAAAAGACTCCTTCCTTAGGCCACACTACTGCATAAATATATTGGAGAAGGAAAGTCAGAAAATTATCTACAACAAAGACATAAAGAAGTGGATTATGAAATAAGTTCTAGAAATGTCAAGCCCAATACTGAATATCTCAGCCAGAAAATTATAGCAGATAATTTTAGAATTATCCAGTAATGCACAGTTTACAAAAACTCTCGCTTCTGATATCACAACATTATCAATTTGGCTTTTCACCCCACTTCCATTTATTAACATCCAATATAGATGCCAGCTGGTATTGGCACTTAAAAATGTGGCCTAGTGTCCCAAAAATGGATGCAAAATAATTGATTTAATTCATCATGTTCTCTGTATGATATTGAAATAAAAAATGCTGCCTACTTACAATATTCGACTACTGTCACCTCTTCTTTAGAAGAAGCAGAATTAGTTAATTGTATCTAACTAGAAAGCATGTAGTGCAGTACAGTATTAGTATCTGGAAACAGAGCTCTATTTTTGCTCTATATAAATTTTGAGATGTAAAGATGATTTTCCATTAAAATGACAGAAACAACACAAGATTAAAAATTTAGTAGGTTCTTTAACAAAATGGACATTTTGACCTTCTTTGTATCATCTGTTTAATTAGTCCCATTACAGCACTAAATAAATACTATTGACAAGCTTCCTAAAGCACTTGAGTAATATCAACATAAAGCATTCATGTAATTAAAAGTTTATGGTTTTTCCCACATTACCTGAGGTGTTGTAATAAAGCCTTCAAACTCCAAATACTGAAGAAAAAGGCTATTATTCTCCAATCTCAGGAGACAGTTCTCCAAAAGAGCCTACAAGTTAAATTGATACATTAATTTAAAAAACTATGGGCACTGCTCTCAGTATATCAATCCCCCGGTATGAAACAGAACACTGAAAGTATATTCTTTTTATTCCTTATGGGGAATAACAATTCTCCTTTGTTTACATTATCCAATTTTTAAACTGCTGCAATCAAGCAACTTCAGCAATTTATAAGAATTTAGTTTATAGTGTAAATCCAACCATCTGTAAACCATGCTTTATAGTTTAGTTTTGTATCAGGTAATAGATTGTTTTAATCGTGATCTGTTTTATAAGTCACAATAACTCGAAATCTTAAGTTCAAACTACACAATAACTTCATGCTGTGTGCAAACCCAAAGAGCCTGCTTTGTCTATGGCAATTTTTTTTGTTAGATAAGGCATATGACACCTTACACAACTACGTCCATTAACAATAAATTATATTTCCAGGAATGCATTTCAGGTTATATTGTAACAATAAACAAAATCCATTTAGTATATATTTAAGCACCTAGTTTAACTTGGGCTATCTTTTAAAGAAGTCAAGTGAGGTTGAATGTAATGAATGTTTGCACTAGAAACCTTTAAAAAAATCCCAGGTTAAACTAGGAAATTGAAAATGCATACTAGATGAAAGTAGTGGCAGTGGCAAA